AATCCCTCGACCAAACACAGCCTGAGGAGGGGCGAGGGCAGCCGAACCCTCTGCCTTTCTGGCTTTCATCTCCTCTCCTGTGGAACCAGCTTGGAGGCAAGAGGAAGAGCATCCCCACGACACCGCACCCTCCCCTTTTCTCTCTGAGTCACTGGGCAGCAAGAGGGAGAGCCCAAACGCACTGTCCAGTTCAAGAGTCCTAAGGACTCAAACATCTGCTATTTATTGAACACCTATGTGCTGCATATTTTTTTATATGTAACAAGGGCAAGACTGATCAGGATAAGAATGGGTCCAGCCTTCTGTGAATATACTAAGAACAGCTGTATATTTTAATAGGGTGGACTTTATGGTATGTGAATTATATCCTAATAAAGCTCTTTTTTTTTTTTAAGGAATACCAGGTCTTACGTGGCACGATTCCATTTATATGAAATTCAAAAATGGGCAAAAATAGCCTATGGTGATAGCAACCAGGACAGTAGTTATCTTTGAGGGTTATTGACTGCGAGGCACAGGAAGTCTCTGGAGTGCTTGAAATGTTATATATCTTGATCTGGTGGTTAGTATGTGATGTAACATGTAAAACTCCAATCAGCTATGTCTACATTGGATGTGCATGCCTTAAAGCACGCAAGTCGTACTTCAGTGAAAAGTAACCCTCCCCACTTCCCAAATGCTAGGTGTTAAGTGGAAAAGAAACCAGTCTACAGTAGTTCAGAGCACAGTTTTTAACTTAAGACCACTGGGCTCTAAATCTGCCTCTACCACTTACCAGCTGTGACAAATAAGTACTTGGAACAAATTACTTTACTTCTCTGTGCCTCAGTTTCTCCACCTGGAAAATGGGGGTCCTAGCAATAGGACCCTCCCTTGACTGCTGCACCAATTGAATGGTGCAACCACCTCAGAACAGCGGTTGGCATGTAGTAAGTACTCAGTAAATGTTATTTTTATCTTTACTGACATGGGCCGAGCACGGTGATATCACTGGATACAGAAGAAACAACCCTGTCATCCATGGAGTGCACCATCAGACAAGAAAGCAATCATAATGCAGAGGGAGGAGCCCTTTCATAGCGAGAAGCCTGGAATGTATGAGCTTGCAGGAGGATCTCCCAAATTCAGCCAGTGGTTCAGGTTCAGGGAGGTGGAAAACTCTGAGTAGAAGGAAGAAGTGTATGCAAAGGCACTGAGGTGAGGAGTGGTTCAGTTGGTCAGTGCACCTACCAGCAGAGTGCATGGCAGATGAGGCCGGATGGCAGGGAGAGAGAAGTCAGAAAGCTCTCCCTCAGCCACACCATGGAGCTGCGATTTTCTCCTGAAGCCAAAGGGGAGACACTGAAGGATGTAGTGGGGAAGAGTCACGGGCAGATTTGCTTTTGAGAAAAGATCACCTGGTCACCCTGGTGAATTCCTTGAGTGGGAGCCAGGCTAGAGACAGGAAGCCTACTTGAGCTGTTCCTGTCTCTCGAGACAGATACTGCTATTTGCATACTTAATATCTGTTTCCTTCCATATTTACTGCTGGTCTCCTCAAGCTGGACCACGAGAATCCTGAAAGCAGGAAGCCTGTCTGTGTTGTTCTTAGTCATCTCCTTGGTGTCTGGCAGAGCCGTGCTCTCTGAATATTGTTGAACAAATACTGAGTGCACACCCCACGTTTCTGTTCCCAGGTAACACACAGGGGCGCCGTGAGGGGCTACTGCTGGATTTCAGACACCGGCCAGTGATGGAGCAAAGGCGAGGGATGGGGGCGGAGGCAGCGTCAGGACTTCAACAGGAGCGGATGTGGAAAGGCAGGGACATGGGGCTCACCTGAGCTTCTGGCTCAAGCGACGGGGGGAGCAGTGGCCCCATTTACTCCTGGGGGAAATGAGGACTTCAATGTGGAACCTGAGATGTCTGGTAGGGGTGTGTCCAAACGTTCCCGGAAAAACAGATCGGTGGATCAGAGGCATGCTTTGAGGGGGACATAGACTGATTTCAAACTCTTTGCGGCATGGTAAAGCACGGGTGCCCACTCATCAGAACAAATGCTGGCCATGGGGCTGGAGCAGGGGCCTGGAGGACCCTGCTGAACCGGCTGTTGCCCTATTCATTGTGGGACCCCAAGTCTGGTGGTCCCTGGAGAGGGAAGAGAGGGCTCAGGGTTGCAGCTCTTTACCAAGCAGCACAGAGATATTTTCAATCTTTTAACTCTGGTAGGACCCTGGAGCTCTATGTACCAGGTGCTGTGCTAAGCCCTACCCTCTCCCCCCTCCCGTGCCCTCATTCCACCCCGTGAGGTGTCATCCCCGTGGTCACTGGCATCATCTCCAGTCTGGGTGATCCGTGTGCTGACAGCCTTACCTGGGGAATTTCGCTGCAGTCTCTTATCCTGGTGCTGGATCGTCTGCAGTCTAATCAATATCGTCAGTAACTTGTGTCTATTCCCCGTTCAAGGGGCAGGCGCCCGGTTTCCTAAAGGTCCACATCCCCCGTGGAGGCATTCTGAGAGACTGCCCCCCGGGGCCTCTGCAAGCCTGTTCTAACCATCCCAGCTGAAGCGAGGCAGAACTGACCAATCCCCACTCTGTGCCTCATTATACCTGATTATAGCACCTGTAATTCCTTAGGACATCTACCAGTTTACGTGACCATCGCCCCTACTGCGCTACAGGCCCCCTGAGGACAAGCATCGGGTCACGTGCATCCTGAATTCACTTAGCAAAATGGCTGTGGGCTCAGTCCTGTTTATTGAGTGAAGGGATGAGCAGACACAGGAACAAGACTGAATTGTGATTGTTATCTGGGGTAAGATCTACCTGTAACGCCCCACCATCAGAAATACGTGAATTCATAATGCATTCTTTTTATTTTCACCATCTGAATTTAAATTTGGTTATTTTTCTGACCCTTAGAGGTTTTCTACTATATTAAATGACAATCTATGAGGGGCACCTGGGTGGCTCAGTCGTTGACCATAGGACTCTTGATTTTGGCTCACGTCGGGATTTCATGGTGGTGGGATAGAGCCCTCTGCTCCGCCACCGCCCGCCCCCCCCCCGCTAGTGTGCTCTCAAATAAATAAATAATAAAATCTTTTAAAAAAAATAAATGACGATCTATTAAACCACTCCATAGTCTGAGATTAAAGACTGCAGAAAACGGCGTCAAGAGGAAGATCAAAAAAATGCCTGATACAACCAACCAACCTGAAAAGAAACCAAAATTTCATTTTCTCAAGCATGGAAGTTTATGCTGTCCAGCACCCTCCACAAAGGAGGGCAAAACTTGTCACTAAACTAGTTTTATCTATCAACTCGTCAGCTTGAAAATAAAATTACAAATTATTTCTAACACCAATAAAGGGCCCATCCTGAGTTGCAAACTGCTTTGGAAAAACATCAGCTAGGAGTTGTGACACCCTAGGGGGGGATGCTGCCTCAGGGACCCAGAATGACTGACCAAAAAGTTCAGGGAGGAGGGGCCCTCCAGCCGGAAAGGAGGGCAGGAGACCACATTCGCACGCAGGACCTCCTCTGCCTCTCCACCCTGGGTGGGAGAGAAGAGCTCCCGAAGCCTCAGGCTCTGGAACAGGGCTTGGGGGGCCCTGCGCTCGTGCTGGTGGAAGGTGGAGTTTGCTGTCGCAGTTCTGCGCAGGACTGGGTTCAAATCTCAGGCCTGCCACTTCCTAGCTAATAATGATCTTACACGATGCTTGCCAGCCTGCAGCCCCTCGGGAAAATGGGGGATGAAGCCGCCTAGCTCTGGGGAATATTAGGAGGAAGATACAGGGGGCTATGAAGCGCTTAGCACAAGGCCTGGCACACAGGGACTCAATAAACAGCATCGGACATCAGTTTCCCCAAGGAACCTGGAGGCTGCAGCTCCCTAAGATGGTCTAAGACCATAGTTCTCCAACTGGGCTGCACTTTGCAATCCGCAGGGAGCCTTTGCAATGCTAACGCAAGCCCTCTTTACACCCACTGAATCGGAATCCCTGGGGGCAGGGCCAGGGATTGTTTGAAGTTCCAGAAGATTCCGCTGTAGCTAAGAGTGGGGAGTCCTGCGAAGACCTATAACCAAACCTGTAAACAGTCAATCAAAGATATGTCCCCAGGCCTAAGAATGAGGCCACGTTGCTTTCAGAATTGAAACAAAGTCTTAAAACCAAAAACTTCCCGATCTTTCTAATCTAATTAACAAAATACATCGCAATTGCTAAATTCTCAGAAAGCCACCACTCTAGAAAAGTCGTAACAAAGCTCAAGTGTTTATTAAGAATTAAAAATACTGTAAATAAGCCATACAGTTCATTTCACAGTAAACTAAACAAACCTTTTTTTCTCTTTTCTTTTTTTTTCTTTTTTTCTTCTTTTTTGAAGGGCAAGACAGCCATTAAAAGGAAAACAGCAAAAAACTACAGAAAATGCACACATTCCTCCTGACAGATGGGGGTCTGCTCGGACAGCAAACCTCTTCATGGACATAATGGGAAAATAAAAACAAGTGGCCTCCGTTCTCCAGGGAGAGACAGCCCATGCCTTTGTGGACCACTATCATCACACATTTCCTGAAAGAACCCAGGGAGTCCCCTTTCCAGGATTCTAAACCTATGTATTATTTGGGGACCCTACCAAGAGGTGACGCAGGCCAGCCACAGTGGACTCTGTGAGGCGTTGTGCCTTCGCATTCAGAACCATCTGGATTCTTTGCATAGTTACCTTTGAGATCACAAGATGATTCAGGAAAGGAAAAGACACCCCACACCACGGGACGTGACCAGCAAGTCAAGCAGCTGGTTCTTATCAAATAAAAACCGAGGGGCTTGTCTCCCTCCCACATCAGAGCTGACTCTTGTGAGTTTTAACCGTTTAAAGTGGAAGACAAGAAGTGAGTGGCAGCTCATGAAAACTTCAGCCAGAAGCATTTAAAAAAAAAATTAAAAAAAATAAAGGTAAAATTAATTTTCCTTAAAGAGAATTAGAAAGAAAAGTGCCTCCTCCCCCCACTTTTTTTATGTGAAATCTGCCAGCCAGGCAAGGTTTTCTGAGGTTACACTTAATCTGCCTCTGCTAATCCTCAGTTGAAGCCATTCTTCTCTGACACTAGAGACATCCCTTCTAAAAGGCACCTCTGATTGGCAGGGGCCCGGCCTTGAGGAAAACCAAAAGCAGAAGCAGAAAACTTGAGAAACCAATGGTGTGTGGTAATACTCGTAAATAAATTAACTGGGCACAAAAACACAAAATGTCTTGTTCGGGGGGGGTCGTCCACTGCTTTTTAAGAGGGGACAAGAACATGGGGGGGTAGGGCACGGCGGGAGAAAACAACACATTTTTTGGTCATGAGAAACGACTTAACTCTGCACCCTGCACACGCAATTCATTCAGACTTTTTCGTGAATCTTTTCCACTTTCAAAAACAACCTATCCAGGTCATTTCTCAGGTCATCTAACAAGCCCTTAGCTGATTCCAAGTTGTTCTCGTTGGTTTCTATTTTCACCGAGTAGGCGACCAAACTGTCCACGGCAGTCCTGAGCATCCTCAAGTCTGACTCCACTTGACTGACTGAGGCTTTGAGGTTGTCTAGAGAAGAGAGTCTGTCCAGGAAGTCCTGAGGCAAGGGGGCCACCCGGGCCGGGTCCTGGCCCAGCAGCATATGGACTTGCTCCTGCACCTTCTGGAGAGCCTCCACGGTGCTGGGGAGCTCGCCCACGCTTCTCTTCAGCTCCTCCACGTCGCTGTAGAGCGAGAGCTGGGCCTCCCCCAGGCTCCCCACCGTGCCGGCCAGGCCGCCTGCGTCGGCCCCTGAAGGGCCCAGGCCCACCACGCGCTCCTGCAGGGCGGCCAGGCGCCGCTCGTGCTCCTCACTCTTGGCCAGCAGGGCCTCCAGGTTCTCGCTGTGCCGGGTGGAGGCCGTCTGCACGGCGTCCATGCCGTCTTCCACAGTTTGGAGCCTGGAGTCCAATCCCTGACTCTTCTCCTGGAGCGCCGCCAAGGAGTCAGAGTGTTTGTAAACCTCATCTTCTTCCGGCCTGAGGGCCTCGGCTTCCAGGTGGCGCAGCTCCTCCCTGAGTCTCCTGATCTCCTCAGGAAGGCGGGAGGTGACCTCCTCGGACTGCAGGAGCTTCTCTGTGAGGGCCTGCAAGGTGAGGTGCTCTGAATTGGCCGCCTCCTTGAACTTCAGCTGCTCCTGCTTGAGGCTCACCAGCTCCTTGACCTCAGTGTAGACGTCAGATTCCAAGGTCTGGAGGGTGCTTCTCAGGGCCTCGATGTCCTTTTCTCTGGACTTCACAGAGAACTGTGTTTCCTTCACAGCTTCCGTCAAGGCTTTCAAATCCTGCTTGTAGCCCTCAGAGTCTTCCAGAGAGGCAACCTTCGCCTTCACATCGCTGATTTCCTTCTGGCTCCTCTTCTGGACTTCGGTGAAGATAGCAATGTTGTCGTTGATGGACTTGGTGAGTTCCGTCAGCCTTTCCTCTACCGTGTTCTCAAGAGACGTGAAGTCCCGCTCCCGGGCATCCTTCACCACGTGGATGCCATCAGAGAGGTCTTTGAGAATCTCATTCTGGAGCTTCTGCAGAACTTCACTGATCCGGTTGATCTCACTCTCCCCTTGTTTCACAGCTTTCTCCGTGAGGTCTTGTTTATGCTGGGAGCTTCTCAAGATGGACTCAAAAGTCCCAAATGTGGCTTGAAGAGACTGCACCTGTAACCAAAATCCACATGTTAACTGCTGAGAAGAGCTGCTAAGTTTTATGCAATACAGCCATATTTCTTTCTTTTTTTTTTTTTTAAAGAATACAGCCATATTTCTATTTGTCTGCCCGGCTTCCAGGTCCCTCTTCTGGGACAGGAAAGCGACTGTCCTTGGAGAACCTTCCCTCCATACACAGTCCATGTGGTTTGGGGGACCAACCGAAAGGCCCTTTCCAAGTGCTCCCGGGGTCCTCCCTCCTGAAGCCACAGTGATTAGCCCAGGGATGGGCCTAAGGCCTAAGGCCAGTCAGTCAATTCCAAGACTTCCATTAAAACTACTGGTAAAGAAAACCTTTTTCTACTAGGATTGCTAGCTATAGGATGATGGAAGCCTGGAGCGACTCAGACTGGCCCACGAAGAACGCCAGTCTACGAATCAAGCCAGCACAGTGGGAGGCAGAACTGAGAGACGGCAAGATCGAGTTCTGGAGACACAACGTGCATCTCTGGGTACAGCTATGCCTGAAGGAATCTGCTCCTGAACTCTGTAGTTTAAGCCAGCAAGTTCTGTCTCTCCCTCCCTCCCTCCCTCCCTCTTTAAGCCAGTTAGGCTGAATTTCTAGCTCTTGCAACTGAAAAGTCTTACAACTTTTCACAGGAAAAAAAGCTGAGGCACATGGGAGACAGTGGGCTGGGAGGCAAGAGACAAAGGTTCAGGTGTCTAGCTTGTCACTTCTAGTTGGGCGGCCCTGACCAAGTCACTGTCCTCACCCAGAAACAGGACCGTGGGCCAGATGTTCCCTTAGCATTCTCGGGCTTTGTGAGCACATTATGATTCTGTTTGCCACGACACACTCATTCTAAATAAATTCTCCCCTAACCAAGGTCTGACCTGGAACCTCTCCGGGGAGCTGGTTCGATGTGTCGAGCCTGACGGGCTGGTGACTACTGGCACACAGAGCCACCCAAAATGCTTTCTTGCAAAAAAAGAATCTGAATCTCTCAAGTCTCCAGCTCTAACTACCAATTCACAGCAAGAGAAAAACATGCTATGAGGATGCAATCAGCCAAATCCACAATGTGGAAAATTCTACACAACAAAGAATGAGATCTTCAAGAATTAAATGGCATCTTTAAAGGGGGAAAGCCAGGAAACTATTACACATTAAAAGAAATTTAAGAGATTTATCAACCAAACGTAATGTGTGGATTTATATGGATCCTGATTCAAACAAAGCAACTATAAAAGAGATATTTTTTAAGGGGGTCAGGGAAATCTGATTTTGAACTAGGTATTAGATGAGAAGCAAGCATTACTGTTAACTTTGTTAGGTATAATAAACTGTGTTTTGCCAAAAGGAAAGGGAAGAGAAGCTCCTATTTGCTAGAAATAAATCTTGAAATACTTGGGGTGAACTAATGTATCAGTCAAAATCAGATCCTGGCTCGATATCCACTGGGTCCGCCAGAGGGCCTGCCCCCGCCTGTGCCCGCTGAATCTCCCGACTCAGGGCAGGCCATGCTCCTCCCCGCCCAGGCTGCAGCCAGTCCGCAGACCTGGGCTATTTCCCAACACCCAGAGCATCTGAGAGTGAGAGAGACCAGGTAGGCACCCAACCAGGGGTGGAACAGAAAGTTTCAGAGACCCAGCTCTCCCTCCGGCCCAAAAAGAGCAAAACAAAATGGGAGGGAAGAGGTGGTGATGGAATGAAACAAGAATAGCAAAAAAAAAAGAGCACTATTGAAATGGGGGTTCATTGTATTGATCTCTTCTGTCTACGCCTGAATACTTCCATGGCAACAAGGTAAAAAATAAAATAGCATGGGCTCTGGAACCAGACTGCCTATGTTCGAATCTTGGCTTGGACACTTCCTAGCTGTGTGATCTTGGGCAAGTTACTCAGCATGTCTGTGCCCTGGTTGCCTCAGCTGCAGGATGGGAACAAAATAGTACCTGACTCACAGGCTCATCTTGCGAGGATTAAGCGAGTGAATGTATCTAAAGCTTCAGTTGTGCCTGACACATAGTGAATGATCAACAAACAGCAGCCATGGTCTTCATTATTGTTTAATCTTTCCTCTGGGAGTAGCTCAGCAATCAGGAGATTCCAAGACCATCCTTAGCCCCCACGCCTGAGGGGAAAAGCTACAGAAACAAGAACAGGATGCCTGGACTCTGGTTCCAGCCCCACCTAAAACCAGATCTGTGAGCACAAATAAGTCACTCTTTCCAGGTCCCAACTCCTCGTCTATTAACAAATAGTTTCTAAAGTCCCTTTCGGTTTCCAACAGTCTGTGAGTTTTAGACAGATTAGAATTAGGTTTTCAGGGACTCCAGAATACTAGACAATTTCCCTGTTCGACTCAATATAACCTGAGTCGTAAAGGGTACTCTGAGAAAGTACCAGGAGAACTCACCTCCAAACGAAGTTATTCAATCACAGCACCTGCCTGTTGTGCACCGCACTCAGAACAGAGGCGCGGACAGGTGAGCATGGTACCTGCAACGTGGCAGGCGCTCACTCACTATTTTCTGAATGGAGCAAGAAGAATTAATTAATAGTACAAAGTCTGGTGAAGACAGAGCTGGTCCATTTCCCCTCTGATCCCTGTCACCCCTAACATGGGCTGGCTCTTGGCAAATGGCTAGGAAGGGGAGTAGATCAGAAATTATGGATGAAACCAAACACACCAACCCCCAGCACTATGAAAATACGGAAGTCGCCCCCCACAGATGGCGCTGTGAGCTGGACATCTTTACACGCAAAGACCTCATTATAATCAATATGCAATGGATGCATCTGTTTCCCCAACATATGTGGGGTGGCCACCAAATGATGGGCAGGACACCAGAGAAAAATAATGGCTAGGACAGAATCCCTGCACTCGAGGAGCTCATAGCACGCGAGGAGACAGTGGTGGCTGCCATTCAACGACGCACTTCCTGTCTACCAAAAAATATGCAAAGTACTTCGTAATCATCTCATGAGTGGGTGACTCCCACTGATCTCCAGTTTACAAATCAGGAGACTGGGAAATGATCAGGCTGAGCACCAAAATCCCAGTACGTGTCATGTCCCAACCTGAGCTCTTAACCTCTAGTGATAAGCTTGAGCAGAAGCCTGTTCAGGTGCACTGAGTGCCTGGAGGAGACACTAACCTACCTCAGAAGCCCTGACTCCTCCAGAGTCAAGATGAGAAAACAAAGAAACACAACCAGAGAACTCACTCTTCCACAAATAGCTGTTCATCTCGTTCGCCTGTCCCTCCTGAGCCTAACCATCACTTTATGCCACCCTGGATCCACCAGGGCAACACGGGCCCTTCCCAGCCTCCAACTGAACTGCCAACGTTTTCGGAAGCCCGCACCCACTGTGCCCGTTGAACCTTCCATGTAGGCCAGGCCAGCTTCTCTGCCCAGGCTGCGGTCATTCAGCAGACCTGGGCCATCTCCCCACACAAAAGCATCTGCAGAATGAGACCAGGTGAGCGCCCCGTGAAGTCGAGTGCTTTAAGTCACACTGCTTTTGACTCTGATCCCGGTTCCCTCACTTAGGGTCCTTGTGTGACCCTAAATGAGTAACAGAGCAGGCTCCAGGCCCTGCTGGTCCACCTGTGAAACAGTGCTAATAAATGGATCCTGCCTCAGAGGGTGGCTGGGAAGCACTTAATAGGATGCCTAGCCCATAATGAATACTAATTATGAATAATAATAAGTATATGTTCCTGCCAAGAACCAAACCCCACCCTGCACCAAGCATCACAGAGTTAAAAAGGGGCTCAAGCTTAGGCTGTCTGAGGAGCCAGCACGACTCACTCTTCAAAGCAAAATCTATTTCCTGGCCACCTCTGAGGTGCAGACAGAAGTAGCCACACACAGTGACAAATCTCAATACTGTTCTGGGCACGTTCTGAGTTCCACATCACTGGACTAAGCATTAATTGAACACCTACTACACACTGAGTGGGAGCTAACTGCAGTATGAATCCTAGTCCTGCCCCTTACTAGCTGTGTAGCCTTGCATTTACTCTGCTTTTTTGTGTCCCACTCTCCCCATCTGTGAAAGGCGGGGAATCCACTCGTGCTCACCTCTCGGGGCTGCTGCGAGAGTCAAAAGAGATGAGTGCACCATAAATACGAGGCATTACATACAGCTGATTACACTGCTCAATTAAAAAGAAAGGTCACTGTTTCAACAGTGGACAGCCAGGTGGATGCTTAAAAATCTGGACAGAGCCCTCCCCTCTCTGTGTAGATGGGAAAACTCGGCCCCAAAGCGGAAAGTAATCTACACACAGCTTTGATAGAAAAGAGGTAGGAGTCAGGGAGGAGGGAATAAGGGAGAGGCAGGGGAGAAGCAGAGAGAGTAAAGCCCAATTTCTTCAACCATGATTCAAGACCTTCCCCATCTGGGCCTCAAGTTCAACTTCCCATCTCACTACTTCCTAAATGTTACTGTGCTACAGGGTGGACAGCCGCCTGCTGTCCCTTCAACATACTCAAGACAGCCCCCCTGCCTCTGTGTCTCCACTCCTTCTCTCAACAGTTACCACCAGCGAGGTCTACACTGGCACTGCCCTGGCCACTGGGATAAAGGCCTAGGCAAACTCCACACCCTCTCTCTTCTGAACTCACACAGCAGTGACCCTCCCCTGAAACCTACTTACGTGCTGCTTTGCAAACAGGATTTGTGCCTTTTTGCACCTTCGTACCCCTTCCACAGGGCCAACAGGCCTCCATATCACTATCAGACTTCAATAAATATTGTGATTAATTGGTAACTGGGTGGACGAGAGAGAGGAAACGAGAGGCTAGTGATTATGCTCCAGCAGTATGTCTACTTCTTAAGAATGAGTTGACATTCAGGATTGGCAAAGCAGCACTGCCTACTTAATTGCCTCCGAAAAGTCACCTCCCTTGGCCTGCAGCGTGCAGCAGGCTGACTCATCCCAGTTGCTCTGCCAGTCTTAAGAGGAAATTCCTAGTCCTGCATACTCCACAAAAGTCGATAGAAACTTGGCAGGGCAGGCAGCATGCTGGGAAAAGGAGGCAGCCGTTCCGGGCTCAGAAGTGGTGGCGGGATTTTTTGTTTCGATCATACAACCAACTTTCATTGAGCAATGACATTAGTGGAGGACAGCGGAGGAGGGATGAGAGAAGGGATCAGACGGAGGGAGATGCACCTGGGGTGGAAAAACACAGACACGGTGGAACTCGAGGCTCTGTGGTGAAAGTTGGGTCCATCCATACCTGAGAGAGGCCTCAGTGGACCCCAAACCGGGCGGTGGCCTAGACATTCTCATGCAGTTTGCCACTCACCAGCTGGGGTCTTTATCAATTCACTTGATCTCTGCAAACCTCAATCTTCTTGTCTGGAAAATGGAGTCAAAACTGCTACTCCTCCCTCCCCGCCAAGGTGGCTATGATGATTAATAAGTAAGCCCTCTTAACATCATGTAAATGTGTCTTGTGGTATTACTCACCAGTACCCTCTAGTCTTTGGGGGCCTTTCCTTTCCTCTTAAGCTGGTTTATGCTACTTCAAAGGCCCACATGGGGACACTGGTCCACTAAAAGACAAGGGATCTGAAGATAGGTAATATTTCATTTGAACTTCGCAAATGAGTATAATTACTTGCTTTTTCTTCCCCAGGATCGGGATTTATGAAAACCTGGCTCAGATGTCTTCCACAGGGAGAGCCCAGGTGCGGCCTTGCCAGAGGCTCCCAGGGATGCGCTGGCGTCCCTTCCTACCTCCTTTTCAGACAACTCTGCTCATTCAGCGGTTTCTAATCCAAAGAGAATGGGCTCCCCAGAGCCTGGCGGCTTCCTTACAGGTCACCGCTAATTCCCTGTGACAGGCCCTTGGCCCATCCTAGCCGGCTGGCCTGACCATCCTCGCTGCGGCCCATCCCTCGGGGCCGATTCCTCCGCGGCCACTAACAAAGAGGGTCTGGGGACCGCCCGGGGACTAGGGGCCCGGGGACGGGGCATCCCCAGCCCGGACCGCCCGAGAAGGGGGCCCGGCTCTGGTCCCGGCCCCCGGGGCCTGGGCAGAGCCAGTGGCCCGGCTGTGGCGCGGGGGGTCGCGGGTCGGGGGGCCGGGGTACCCACCTTCTGCTCGACGCCCTGCAAGCCCTGGCCCAGCTCCTCCCTCTGCCGGGAGAAGTCCTGGTGGCCGCGCCGGACCTGCTGGACCTCCTCCAGGACGTGGTGGACACACCAGCCCGAGAAGGCGGCCGCCGCCACCAGGGCGAGGTAGAAGAGAAAGTTGAGCGCCCGGCCGAGCCTGCGCGAGCAGGACGCCGAGGACGAGGCGGCGGCGGCGGTGGAGGACGAGGAGGAGGACTTGCCGCCGCGGTGGCCGCCCTTGCCGTGCGACTGGTTCTGCGGATGCTGCGGCGGGTGCTGCTGCGGGTGCGGCGCGGGCGGCGACGGCTGCTGCGGCGCCGGCGGCGGCTTCTTCGCCACGTCATCCGCGCCGCCCGACGGGTGGGCGCCCTTTTCCGAGGGGCTCGCGGCGCCGTGGCCGCCCTTGGAGCCCCTTTGTTTGGCCGAGGGCATGGCGGGCGCGGCGGCGGGTGAGGCCGCGGACTGCGAGGCGAGCAAGCGGGGCACGCGGCCCAGGAAACTTCCTCGGGCTCCCCCGGGGCTGGGCTAGCGGCACGCGGGCGCTGCTGGCGTCGGAGCGGCCGAGAGAGAGCGGGCGGCGGGCGCGCGAGGAAGGAGGCCGGACGAGGGAGGAAGGAGGAGGGGGCCTGCCTCCGCCGCCGCCGCCGCCTCGGCGCCGACCCCGCCTCCCGGGAAGGGAGGCCGGGAGAGCCGAGCTGGGAGAGCCTGCCACGCACGCGGGGGCCGGCGCGGCCCCTCCCCCTGCCGCCACGACCCCAAGGAGGGGGGCCGAGCGGGGGGCGGCGCCGCGGGGTCCACGCGGCCGGGGTGGAGGTGTCCCAGGCGGGGGTACGAGGCCCGGGGTGGGGGAGCCGAGGGGAGGGTGGTGGCCGAGCGCGGTCTGAGGCGGCCGGGTTGGAGGAAGGGTGTCCCAGAGGGGTCTACGGGGCCGAGGTGGCAGTGGGGGGGGTCGGTCCCAGCGGGGTCCACGAGGCCTGGGGTGGGGGCGGGGGGAGCCGAGGGGAGGGTGGTGGCGGAGCGCGGTCTGCGGCGGCCGGGGTGGGGGGCGGGGTGTCCCAGCCGGGGTCTACGGAGGCCGGGGCAGGCGACTGAAGTGGCCGAGTGGGAGGGGGCAGGAGGCGCCGAAGTAGGGAGGGCAGCTGGCCTGGGTCTACCGAGGCGGGGGCCGGGAGTCGAGGTGGCCAAAGGGAGGGGCGCAGGGCTGGGTCTATGGGGGGCCGGGACTGGCGACTGAGCGGGGGCCACGAGGGCCCCGGGGATAGGCGGCTGAAGTGGGGGTGGCCAGGCGGGTCGGAGGGAGGAGAGCTGGGGTTGAGCTTTTGCCTTGGGCCAAGTTCGAGTCCCTTCCCTCCGACCTGTTGAGAGAGAGGAAATGAAGGGGGGGGGAGTCCAGGAGCCCTGCCCCCGGGAGTGGGAGGAAGGAGGCGGGACCCCGACCACGCCCCCCATCTTTTCTCTAGGGACTTGGGGAAATCGCGGCCCTCCCCATCCCACCCTCCCAGCCCGACCCGTGTTGGGCCTTGACTCTTAACGGGGGTTTGAAGGCGGAGGCAGAAGGAGCTTCGAGAAACCAGTTGGCTCCGCGGAGGCATGTTTAGAGAGAGTTAGGAAAGATTCTTGGACTGCATAAAGTCTATTCAAGGAAACGCATTTATTGAGCATCCCCCTTCCCTGGTAAGTCCACTATCCATGCTGTTTACTTTTTTTTTTTTCCTGAAGCTCTTTCAACTCCATTTTCCCTTTAGGGGTCCTGCAGTCTATCCCTAGCCCCTACAACGGACAGGCTCTGTGCTGTGTGCTGGGAAACTTGGGGCGGCGCCAGGAGAGGGAGGCAGATCGGGGCTGTCACCCCTACTCTGGTAGAAGGAAATACAGTAACACCAAGCTCTGCATTTATCAACTTAAATATGTTCTTAAAACCTCACAAAACCTTGCAAGGCAAGATTATTTTACCCGTCTTATTGGAAGGAAACTAAGCACCCACCCCAAATGATCGGCTGAAGGTCACACAGCTATGATTTGAACCTTGACCTCTCCCAAAGCCCATCATGCTTTGGAGGGGGAAGGAAAGGGGAGGAGGCAGGGAAGTTAAGCAACCTGCCCACTCTCACTAAGGCTAGTTGGTGCTGGGGCAGGGACAGAACTCCATTGCTTTCCCCCTGAACCTGGTGCGCTTTGTGCCTGGCGGTGTGTGTGCTTGACAGCCGGCTGTCGGAAAATGTTTCTTCTGCCAATTCTGTTTTTAAAGTAACATTTCTTGTCCTTAAGGCCCAGTTCAAATGCCACTTCTTTCATGATGGCTTCCCTATAACACCACCTCTCGTTGCAATAAGGGGCATCATATATGTTAGTTCAATAAAACAAACCTTTGTGAAGGGTACAATATGCACCAGACAGATGTCTGCAAAGTACTAGTCTCCCCTCCAGGACAAGAAGCAACCATCACTTATATTTCCCTTTGTATCTCACCATATGAGGTGCTTTAAAAAAATCTCTAGGGAACCAATGAACACGTGGGCCTGCCCTCAAGGGGCCCGCATTACATTTGGAGGAATGTGCGGAAGCATTTTGAGGGCCAAATTATGTGCTTGAGAAAATAAATGTAAAGGGAGCTCATCCAGGGCTGTAGGTACATGGGGAAATCTGGGGCAGGAGGGTCTGAGCAAAGCCTTGAAGAATGGATTTGCACAGGTGGAGAGCAGGGAGGATATTTCTGTGGCAGAAATAGGGTGAACCCAGGACTCTGATCTGACAAGAAGTAGTGTGTGTCACGACATAGGGAAGAAAAAGATGAGCTGGGTGGAATGCGTCCAGATTGCAGAGGTCGGCAGAAGCCAGCCAGGCAGACAGAAGAGTCAGTATTGGTGTGGGAGGCCAGAGTAAATGACAGCAGGTTCTGAACGAGAAATACAACCATCTGCCCCAGAGAGAGAGGAACATCCACTCCAGCTAAATACAAGGAGAAATCGCAGGAATCTCCTAATTCAAAAGAGCACATGACCTAGGAAAGGAGATGGCAGAGACTAACTCATCAGAAGGGGCCAGAAGAGCCTTGTTTAACAACTGTTCAGCTGAGTTCAGCTTGTGTTGAAAATCCCTAGTGTGCAAACAAAGCAGTCATCCTCCTTCAAGCAGTCATCTGTCAGGGCAGTGATAACCTGCAAAGCAGCTTTGGGGGCTCCGCCAGGCTCTGGCCTGGGAGACAGGAGCACTGCTCTTTTAACCTTAGTTCTGCCACCAACCTAATTCTGTGACCTTGAGAAGTGTACTTAACCTTCTCCGTGGATTTCAAGGTCAGCTCTTTGGCATCTCTAAAGACCTTTCTCATTCTATTAATCTATTTCCTAGAGAAAAATAGTCATATCTGGTATCAAAAATAATTAAATATTTACATTTTTTAAAGTTGAGGCAGAACTTATGCCAGAAAGCATGGAAGGTTTCTCAATTATCTGCCTCTGCTGAGCATTGGAAGCATCGCAGGTGGGGGAGGAGAGTGTTGCTATTTTCAGTGTTTCCCTCTTGACCCTTTCCTCTGGGAGGTAGTGAAGTATAATGGTTAAGACACCGGCTCCCAAATAGACTAACGTGGGTTCAAATTCAGCTGCCATGACTGACTGGAGAACATGACCTCTCTGAACCTCTGTGTCTTCATCTGTGAGGGGTGGGTAATAAGAACGACCTCACCGGGTCGCTGAGAGATGGCGTATGATGCGGGGCACATAGCAGGGCTCAGGGAATTAGAGGGTAGATAATAACAGCTTGCAGAGTCACTGAGCGAAGCAGAGCTACACAAAGCTTCTATGTCTAGATTTCAACCCATTTTCTTTCATCATTACTTCTTGGCACTCCCGGCACCCCAAGTGGCTTACAGACCACAGGCTCTGATGTGTTTGACCTGAGAAAGCAGGCAGTGTTTTCCTCTGAAGCGAGGTTCTGCCGTGGTGTTTGGCTGCACCCAGAGGAGAGGAGTGCCTCGTCGAATCTTCTGGGGCAGGAAAAAGCAGCGGTGCTGGGAGGTTTCCATTCTCCTAGCCCATCCTCTGAATCAGCACAACATGCATGTGGAGGAGGTTTCCCTGTTCCCCCCCCACCCCCAGAGTCTTTCACCTCTATCCCTTGTCATCTTCTTCCTCCCTAAAGCGTATTAGATGGTCAGGAATGTGGGTGGAGAAGAGGAGGAAGAGCTAGAGACATCTTTTCCTTTCCCCCAACTTGTGTGAAGATACTTCTGAACATCCTCAGGGTGCATGGACCATAAATTATAAGGCAGAGATTTGTAGGCCTACAGCCCCCTCTTGGTTTCCTGTATTTCTGTTGGAACGCCGAAGCAGAAAGCCCCTGTTACTTACTGTTGATTGCCTCTCCTCGGTTCCAGGTTGACAAGACCCCCAGAGGCCAAGACACCTGAATGCCCTGCAAACAGGGTGTGTTCGAGGTGGGGGCCTCCTTTGCAGCTGGCTCTGGAGTGTTAGGACATGGTCTCAGCAGTTCCCACCCCCAGGAATTCCCCAACTCCAAATGCTGTAGCTCCGTGCAGGAGGGGAACTCTTTCTTGGAAGATAGATGATAACAGCTGCCCAACCCCAAGATACTGTCTGTCCATCTTCCCCGGCTCCATGTTTCTCTAGAGGATTTGTTTTTCTCTGCTTATGTAATTATTATTGTCTGCCTCTTCTCATTAGAGTGTAAGTTCCATGCCTGAAAACTTCATTGAGCTCACTCTTACATTCCCTAGTACCTAGAACACAATATCTGGCACATAGTAGGAGCTCAATAAACATAATGAATTTCACATGAGTCAAATCCGTCTACGTAGGTCCTTCCCTTTCATAAGACCACAAGGAGGGACCGTGGAGGGGAGGAACCCAGTGAGGAATGACCTTCTAGAATTTCAGTATCATTACAATGATATCAGGAATGATGGCGGGAGGGGTGATGATGATGGTGATGGTGATGACCAAGAGGGTGATCGCTAACATGGGTAGGCTGCAGGGGACCTGGAGGACCACAAACATCACCATTTACTGATCACTTACTGTGCGCCAGGCATTATGCCAGGAGCTTAATATGCATTACCTCCTTCCAGACTGAGTGAGCCTTCGATGGAGGCATGGCAATAGTACTGATTCAGTTTCCCCACCAGGGGGGCAACTTGTACAAGGTGACACAACTTGAGAATGGTAGGAGTCAAGGCTAGAATCTGGCAGTTGATCTGAGAACTCACACTCCGAGTTAGCACATGGGTGGACAGACTGCTAAGAAAACAAACCTAGTCTGATGGAGTCATTTACCCAAGGCTTACTGATAAAATCCAGATGCTTAATGAGCATTATGAATCTCAAACTGGGAAGGAGAGGACAGGACTGTATCTCAACCTGACACAGCTAATTCACCTCTGCAACTGCGCCCTCTCACCAGGCTGCTGGTGGACACGTTTTACCCCTTACGTGTGCTGTAGGAAAAAATAAATAATAAAATAAAATAAAATAAAATAAAATAAATAATAAATAATAAAATAAAATAAAATAAATAAAATAATAAAATAATAAAATAAAATATAAAATAA